TGACCAACGCCGAGTTTGCCCAAAGCAGATCCCAGCCTATGATTACACTCCCTGTTGCTAGTAACTAAGAAACAGATTATTCATAAATTTGACTCAATATCGATTAGTGGTAACAAATGAACACCTGCAGCTTCAACTTTGTTTCACCTTGCTGAGCCCTATTAAATCACGTTGATCGTTGTAGTAGTAATCAGTATATTAAAGGGGAAACTCAAATAACGGTGTCATTTCAATACCGGCTGCGTAATGTGTCGTGGGCCATACATTAATTAGCGCACTCAAAGAATAAACGAGAGCTTTAAAATTGCAGCATTAATGCCATTCACCAGAGATGAATGTTTGGAATTCATACACGTTCAATAAGCTCAACCTTATGAAACAACTATCTGTACAGCAGCTGGTGTTTTGGACTCGTTGGTGATCGAAAAGACCAAGAGCAAAATGAGGTTGATGAAAATCGCAGAGCTTTGCCTGCTTGATGATATCCAAAACGGGTGAAACCGACACTAGGCTTTTATCGAGTAATGTCATATTAGAGATCAACTTCAATTAGGAAGGAATTCCTTAAACCAGCGGTAATTTCCGTCGTTTTCATAACTGGGGACTGACTATACCTCAAAGCATGAAGATCACCCCGAAAATACCAATGGGTAGGTCAGAATTTCTGAAGTGAAGCAATTTTACAACTGGTGCTGCTGACAGAAGCCCATACACAGAACAACTCATTTCAATGACCGTTTTCTTTTCGGTTCATAGTAGGACAATTCTACAACATACGGATCTGCAAATGCCATATGGAATCCAGTTCTCAGACTTTTTATTGTGTCGACCTCTACCTACTACACACCAACCGACTAAAAAATCACATTTTTCGGATGTCTCAGCTACAGGGTAAGTACTAGAATGCTGCATGTGAATTAAATGACATTTGGCTTAGAAGCAGCTACGTGGTCCAGGCGACGGTACAATTTGCACATCCATGAGCCTAGAAAAACCGAACAAGTGGAGTAGTTGCTATAGAACAGTTTAGGTACCGCTGGGTTCATTCAAGCAGTAAAATCACTCCACCCCATCAGGCCTTATGGGCGCAATTTGAATAGTCAGTTAACTGACAATTAAACAAAGGAAGTGTAGCGGTCGCTCACCAGATCATTTAACAAATTCCTGTCCCATTTGCAACCTGAGTCGACAACATGTACACTACAATTTCCCATCCATTTTTGTTTACACGGCTACCACCTGCATCACGCGCCAGGCTTACGAATTTCGACCACATCAGGTCAAGCTGTATTCATGTTCGTGCAACTATCAACCACGTGTATAAGCTATACTGCACAGAAGACGCACCCCGCGTCCGGAACTTCACTCAGGAACTCTCAACAGTTGTCCTCAAACGACAAGTCACTTTTGGGCTTATTCACATGCATTGTATTTATTTTTTTATCAAGTGCACATCACTTTTGTAATAATCACTCTGGTAAAACAGACATTTGTTAGTGCTTGTCACCTTTTGATAATCAACACAACCAATTACGTTACAACCAGATCGTAATGGAAGCATAAGAAAGATGCTCCCGTCACTTTTTGCCAGCTCCAAGTTAATGTACGCACAAAATCTTGACCTATTTTTGATGAAAACAATTCCTTATCCGCGTCTTGGCTCATTTTGTGAAAAAATCACACTGCAAGAATTATACGCATGAAACGGTTAATCAGACCGAAAACTTTGTGGATCCAACGAGTGGAGCTCACACAAACCATCGAATCTTATTGGCCCGTCTACAAGATGCAGGATAAACGCCAATGCGGTCGACCGATCTTTAGTGGACAGCTACCTGTGTGAGTTTGTTTGGAGGCAACGGTACCGAAAAACGGACCTTTTCATGCAAATTATTAGTGACATGTCCAGATTTCACCCTCTTCAATAGAAACTAAAAGTGCGAATTTCGTATCCTCTTTTTCCTAATCTTTTTTGGGTGGCGAGGTTACTTTTTGGCGGGGCTTATCTGGAAAAGATCCGTTTCATTCTAGGACCTGGCAGTAATCGCTCAATTTTCAGGTTCAAGAAATGAACATTACGTCCCCTATTCAGACTCAATTATTGTCTGATAGTTCAGTAACTGAAATATGGCTGTTATGGAAATAGCAGTGATTGTGAGCCCTTCATTCATGAGATATGAAAGCCATATATAAACCTTTTTTCTTAATAATTTCCATTTTTTTGGGTTGATTCAGTAAACATTTCATGCGATGGGAGTGTGCGAGATATACAGAGTACTTCTTCTTGTAAGATACAGCGTACTGATAGGAAGATACCGGCCTAAAGGGTCCATCCTCTGATTAGCTGATACTGATCTCAAATCTGAACTCGTAAATAAATTTTCGAGAGGAAATTGGAGTAAAAGTAACTCATTGGCATGAAGGCCCACATCGATCCACGTTTAGTGTTCAATTGCTCAATGTGCACCTAGACAATGTGCCTAAACAAAAGCAGTGGAGATGCAGAGGCTGGGTCCGAACTATGGACCCTCCGGTCAGTTCGTTCGATTCGATGTCAGAATAAAAGTGTCACTTCAAACGCCTCCTAACACTATTCAACAATGTAACTTCTCACTAAAGCTTCAAAACGAAGTTCAGGCTCCAAAAAACGTTGGAGTGACATTCACTCCCATGGATACGAACGGGTACATATAACCATACAGCTGAAATCCGTCACCAGTACTACCTATCAGGAGTATGTGTGGAACATTCGGAGCACGAATTGAAGGTGGTAGATTCAACTCCGTGGTATCCAAAAAGAACTGAACGCTTTAATTTGGGGGAATACCAAAATTTTCCTTAGAAGACTCTCGCCCACTAGAAGTACAAAGCGACGACTGCCCAGCTCCGCTAAGCCGATTTAGCAATGGTTAGCGCCATTTGAATATCTAGACTGTCAACAATAGAACTGTGAGTCTTGGTTTTACGCTACGAAATTAAATAAACAATGTAGTGTGTAGTCGGCAGGAAGTGCGGTTCTCGACCAAAAGTACATACTCATAAGGAAACAGGGCTTATATCAGGAATTAAGTGCCCGCTTATTGTATCGACTAAATGAGCCCAAGAAATACAACCACAATCCACAGATCGGTGTGTGGCTTTCTTGACATTTACATATCAAATTCTAACAAAGTAGTGTTCGGAGATCAAGCGATAGGTCAGCAGATTGCACCACGGGTTAGAAAATAGTCCTTATTTGGGGCCCTCGCCCGCAATGTAACTAATCAGTTGTGTGAAACGGTTGTCCGTCAGATCAAATTCTTAGTAATCACAGAATTCGTTCAAAGCGAGTACGGGAGAGGGAAGCTTGTTCATGAAGATCTCATCCACATCAAGCAAGAAAAACTGGCAGATAATATTCTATCATAATAAAATGACGAACATCACCATAACTATGAGGAACTGTGCTGTTCGTGGGGACCACAATTATTCCTCATGGATTTTTAACTGTACAGCTGTAAGCGCGAAGGAAAGTCCGTGACATCCTTGAGATTATACGACAAAGAAGTTCTGCGGTTGAAATAATTCAGTGAACTTCGTAGAATCTACGTTAGGTTTGTGGACGCAAAATATGCAGAAGTACCAGTCCTGTAAATAGTTTTTGCTATTTATATCTGTTTGGCTAAAAGAATATCGAATCATGTGTTCTGGGACCTCGATAATTGCTATTCCGAGCTATCATCCCGGTAGATTTCTTATTTTCGCATAACTCATGCAAAGTTGAAAGAACTTAGGGCGTCGACAAGTTTAATGGTGAACTAAAGCCGAGTTCTCCAACGTAACTGGAAAAACATTCCAGGACGATCATGCTGTCGATCATATCGGAGAGCTGAAAGAACCTAGCTGACGCACACGACTAACATTCGGCTAGGGGTCCATGATACCTAATCAGCTGACCGATGCGCGCTAATGCATCTCTACCGGAAAAAGCCGAAGGTCCAAATTGTAAAACATTATTAGTCGCTTTGGTTAGTAAATATGTCCTGCTGGAAAATGAGAGAAAGATATAAGTTGCGTTATCGAAATATCACTAAGGTAGGCGGCGAACAAACTGGGAGCAATACTAACTCTATAAAGGGAGCACTTCGGGGGCGATCATCTCGCAGAGGCTCGTTTACGCAGCACCATCTTCAATGGCTGATTCACATTGCATGGTTCCGTGCAGCTTGGTGCCTACTGACTGTAACTCTAAAAAATACGAAACCCAAATGGAATGCATGTCTCATTGACAGTCTGGAGCTCGTGGGCTTGTATGAGTCACACGAAATCACTGTCGTCTCTTTCCTCCAGCTAGTGCTCTACAGCTTTACTTTTAGTAGTAAGCCATTAACTCACGGTTGTCGATTAGCTCCTTCTTGGAGCTGAAATTCGAACGAACAGACTTCTTGACACACTGTGCTGCGGTCCAGGTCATGAAATGCCCTCTAGGCGGATCGGTTAACAAGTGCACCTTTCCGGACGGGACGAGCGTTACTTACCAAAAATAAATTAATCACCTATGGGCTCACCCTTGAGACAAGCCTGAAGAGCATCACCACGCGGCGGGCAAGGTTCACCATCATAACAGTCGACGTGACACGATACGCCACCCGTTGCTCACCAGCGGTTACTGGTACTAGTCGGCCGGTCAAAGAGCACACAAAAGCCTAAATGTTTCCCGACACCGACACCTGGATTGAGGTGCATTATCTTCGACCACCAACGGCAGGCCGTCAGTTGCAGACAACGAGGCTTGGTGTGGGATTTTCCCCTGAACAATCAACTGCCCTCCTAGGTTTGAGCCCCTGAAGTGCATGCACCACTCGGTTCAGTAGTTCACGCAGGTCGTCGAAAGCTGTCGTCTGATAGAATGGGCATGTGCATTCTACAGTACAGGCGTCAACCGTCCAGGAGCCCCCGGAACCATAAGTCAGTTGCCTCATCTTGTTTGTTCCAACACTATGATAGTACAGCCTTGGGGGTCACGGTCTCAAGTGCCTCAAAACAAGGGAACATGCATAAGTAGTCAATCGACAGACAACGTCCAGAACGTAGTCGTCGCTCTCCAGGATTTCCCGTCGGTCGCATTGGTATGACATATGCATCTCATATTCTCGAGCGAGCCACTCGGCGTTACTGGACAACTTCTGTCTGGCATGCTCCAGTGTATCCCAGTGGTGCACCCGGTTTTCCAGGCGACCGTCTGCGTTCGCCAGACGGTTGTTGGTCACATTATCAAAGTGAATTATCCCGGACTGTGCGTACACAGCCCATTTGCGGGTGATCTACAACCAATGTGACGTAAGAGACAAATCGTGGGTCCGTGCGGTGCAGTATTTGCAGATCATGTCGGAATCTGTGTGCTAGCATTACGATAAACAATGGACCTATTGTACGGCATTGTCTAGGCGAGGCATACGGCGGAATATGTACCGGTTGTTCGCAGTCTGTGACCAAAAATAAATGAATGTTATATGATACATAAGTGCTTCCTGATAGCTTTTCTAATATGGAAGTAACACAAAATGACGTAACAGCGGAACACTAATCTCGCTGCCCACATTTGTGCCGTCAACTTGACAAGTCTTCACTTTCATTTCATTTCCCTGAATAAGCCAAACAGTTTACGCATGAAAGCGAACTGTTCGCTTTCCACGAAGGCACACATAACCAGACGCCCGGTACTCATGCCATCCGTGATCAGGAAGGTCCACAGCAAAAGACCGACGGTCAAACCCAGAGAGTCTCTTATGGCCTTCCCCACACAGTGGCCTCGTCTCTGATCCATAAAGTTGATCAGACCGCAGTATTGTATACCCTGCCTTTGACAGTCAAGCAGAAGTCAAACTGGCGCTCAAAATGTCGGAGGTTGAAAAACGCTGCTTCGGCTTTCCAGACTGGAAGTAATTCAGCCCTTTACCAGTCAACTGGGACGTGTGCACCTACCCAGATGGACGAAATTATCCATCATGTTGGTAGGTTTATTCGCGAACACGGGGATATTCGACTACACAGGCGGGCGGATTAAGCGCATCTGAGGCTTCACTAAAAAAGGTTAAAATAATCGCTCGGCTATAACACACTTCCGGTGCCTAGCTGCCATGCTACCTGAAGGAAGCATGAGGGCTGGGCTACTGCCAGGTTGCTTGAGCTTAGACAGGGGTAGTCGAGAGGTAGAGGTCAGGTTCGAGCCGCGGACCTTCCAGTCAGTAAATTCGCGCTCTAACCGCTTGATTAGTTGGTACCTGTCGAGTCTCCCGATGCACAAAAAACGGCAGACGACTGCTCCAGCCGTTTGTTAGCCACAGGTTTTTATGCGGCACCAATTTTCGAAATAACCAGGGACATCTGGCCAAATGGTTTTCCCTAAACAGGGTATCAGTTAGGGTCACAGGTGGTGTGGATCAATAACTGGCTGCCGCTGGTTTTGAAACACTTGTGTGGAGTTTCACTATGCTGTTGTGCGGTCATGTGAGTCGAATTCGCCTTTGCAATCCAGTATTATTAAAACTCTGGGTCGCCTATATGTATGGTATTTTCTCGGCACTTGATGCTGTGAAGATTTGGTCAACGCAACCCGTGCCAGGCCGGAAGCCCGCTTGTGGCTCTCGAAGTAATGCTTCATAGGGCTCTGAAGAACAAGTGACGCCACGTGTCTCGCTATGACCGCAGTCAATTAGATTCCTCAGTGATACTAGCACTCACTAAGGGCTGTATGTCTGAAGCGGGCAATATAATCGATTCTCCTCAGTTACCTGGGACAGTCTCGTTCACCAAGATGGGAGCAGTTAGGTCAGCTAAGCGCTGACTGAAGACTTCATGCCCATCCTTGAACATTTCGGGTGGGATGTCTTCAGGACCTGGTGCTCGGTGGCACCTGGGAGGAAATATGTGTCCGAAAACTTTCTAGGCCGTAGGACTCTTCAGGCCCATCGTCCAGTGTTCTATTTCAATTGGAGAATCCAACTGAGTGGTAGCAGGCGGTCTCGAGAATTGTTGCTCAGTATGTTTGGCTCAGCGATCGAGGGATCCTTCTTTACTGAAGATGATCACACCACTTTTATCCACCAGTGGTTTTCTTGGTCTGGTCACATGAATCCGTTTGAACCAGCATCGAGCATTCCGCGTTCCGTAACCTTCTTCCACGTTCTTGGTCCACCAGACTTCACGGTTGGCGTGCACAATAAGTTTGACTTGAAGTCTGAGAATTTATCTTTGTGAATCATGTTAGGGGCCGGTGGAAACATTTCCGGGATGTTCAAGTGGTGCTAGTGTTCTCCTCCACTATCCAGTGCTTGAGTGGACGTGGTAGTCTCGTACCACAGGCACAACCCCAGGCATCGTGCAAGGACGTTGTAATCTTGTTCCTTTACAAATGCACACTTGACGACGGAGCCGTCGGAAGTGTCCAGAAGACGAGCCTGATAAATTTGTCCTATTTCTGTGTGCCAGCGTCTTCGTTGCCAAGCTAGTTATTCGAATGTTACGCAGCTCTGAAAGTGTAGGGGTGACTCGGACGAGCGTGTAGCCGGATTCCTTACGAGTGTTCCGAAACGAACGTCCGTTATTTATTGATTTGCGCCGTTGGTCCCTGCTGGCGATGTGATCAACTTGGATCCGTGGCTGGTACGCTGTTGAACAACACCGGTTGTCAGAAAACTTCGATTATTTCGGAAATCGATGCTGCGTAAGAAGTTTACGGTCGGCACATAGCTGAAGAAGTCATTTGCCATCGTCTATGCATATCGAGTTCAGCCTGTGTGACCACCCAGTTGAGCCTCAGGTGCGCTAAACCTGCCCGATGTGCATTCAGGCCTTCGACAGCCACAACAATATCTGAGCTTTCTGCTCACTGTAAGAGGGCATTGAAAGTGTCATAAAAGTTGTCTTTCATGGTTGGGGCGTAGCAGACGTGACGGGTAGACAACGATTAACTTGCCGCTGGTGAAACTTCTTTAAGGACGTTGCCAGACGTGCCGCACGGAGGTGACTATCATCGGGTATCCAGTCACAAAATAATCATTTCTCCGGCTGAATTAGGACGCTGCGAACCCCTGTCGCGGCGCCCACTGGATCGCCACAGGTGCCTGAAGGTTACTGAAGAGTGATCGAGCAGTTAGCTCAACTGGTCCCGACGGACGCGTCGGCTACAGGGCTATTGCCACAATGGTTATCACATGGCCGCCCTTTTTGAGGACTATGATGATGATCGATGTGCCTCATTCCACTGGTATTGTTACCTATCTGAGTCTTCCGTAGTGGGAACGTCAAATTGCCTACCAATCAGTGTCCAAGCTTGGCGAACATATCAATAGCCACCTGATCAATCACCATTGAATTCGCCCGAGCTACCGATATTCCAGCACATTACGATCACGCAGACTTTTTGGCGCACGCCGCGCATTCTACCTGAAATATGGGCTTTGTCGGGCGAGATGGTTCAGTGGTTAGACCGCGAGTTTGCCGACCGGAAGGTCCGTGGTCCAAATCCGACCTCTGCCTCTTGACGTTCCACGCTTGCGCAACCTGGCAGTATACCAGCCCTCATGCTTCCCTCGGGTGGAATGGTAGCTAGGCATCGAAAGGTTTTTACAGCTGAACGATAAGGTCTGTCTCAAACTATGAGATTTGTGCCTTTCTGCTGCCAACTTAACTCCACATTGGCTGGTAGAAGCCTGTTACTATCGTCAAATTCTTATTCGTCACTTGAATTCTCAAGTTTAACTGGACACTTCGTGATTTACCGGAAGGGTTGGGGTTTCTTTCTCTAGGTAACTGCTCATTGGGTGTCCCTATTTTTCCGTTTTCCTGATTTTTCCCGGTTTTTGATACAATCCTTGCGGCTTTCGGTCTTAGGTTTGAGTTCATCGAACCTGAGAGTAACATCGACGAAACTAAGTAATTCAAGACAAATGACTGTGGACGTTCTATTACCTACGTTACTCTCTTTTTATCCACAGGTTTTGACGATCGACCTGCTGAGGATGGATCAGAAGGTAATGCGGGTTTACGCCGCGTGGACTCACAGGCGCGATCCATCTCATCCCCCGTGACTCCTGGAGTATTTTCATTTACTCCACACAACTGTCCCCAGCCTGTTTTGCTATCTACTCTGGAAATCAACCGGTGTCGCGCACATCGTGGAGAGAACACTGAATGTTGGGGTACTCTTTACAAACCGGGGGACGATGTCACTTTTTATGTGGAAACGGGTGATATCGAGAACACAGCTATCGTGATCGAATTTTATCGTCAGGAGAGGAGAAACAAATTACAAGACAGTAAGTTTTCCGGTGGAATCTACTTTGCACTGTAAGTACATTCCTACGTGGTCCCACATGGACGCATAATTTGCTCCCCAGAATACACCGCACACTGAAATATACGATGGTCTACGCTCGAGTTAGCTCGAGGCAGAAGATGCTAGCCTTTGTGGGAAATTCATTGGTTCAGATCCACTGTGGAATTTCAGGCATTTCTACGCATGGTTGACTAATGTTTGTTTAGTAGTTCCAAAATCAACGTCATTAGTAATCCTGGGATCGCTATGCCATTGCTTTCTGGATGGGTTCTTTTTAAAGGGCTCCAAACAGTCTCACTTAGTTTGTCTTTACGAAGTAATTTTTGACTAGCGGCCAAACATTTTAATTTTATTCTCGATAATGCACTGCAGATGTAACTGTAACCTACGGCTGAACCCAGAAACTATGGTTTCATGCATTTCCTTCAGTATTAGCGAGTACGGAACATGATGTGCTCCGATATCTCCGCTATCAGCTCAGTTGAATCTAGAAACATTTGTGTGTGAATTCATTCAGATTTCAAGTGACTACCCCATTTATGCCAAGGAATTCGATGTTCAGCGTTAATATGGTAGTTGAGCACTGACAGGGTGTTATATCTGTTATAATTATAATATAATTATAATTACGTGACAGTGAGCGGTGTATATGTGCGGACGCTTTGCTTAGCAAAATTTCTACCCGGATATTGATACTGCCCCTCGGTGAGTTCCGACGAACGGTAGCTTATCCGACCTGACAAGAACACATCGCCCATAACCCCCTGGTTTCTTCCTTCTTAGTGCTCGTCAGACTTAGTCCCACAGCTTTCACCCAGGTGAAGGATACCATAAGTGAGAAGTTCAGCTGGAATTCTGACGAGTCTTCCGTCCCGCAACGGTACATTCTCTTTCTACTTCATTACCTACGTCAGTTGGGATCGCTCCCTGCCTCCAGGCGTTCTCGGACGCCATGATACCTGGACCAAGTTCTCAGACTGTGCTATCCACTCGTTGCCACCATTCGCACCGGATTTCGCCCCAGAGCGATCCGCCACTTCATGGATCGTATCCACTGGACTATGTTGTTTATCCTGGGAAGGTGTTTTGGAGGTGCGTCATACGAGTGATGGAACAGGCTCACTGCAGACCAGCTTATCAGTTTTTCCGAACCAAGCTTAACATCCATCTTCGTGGGCGACACTATGCCAATTCCACCGGTGAACACCGAAAGTTCTGAAAATGAAGTTGGTGTACCAGTATCCACTGGCCTCTGCACCGACCGGCTTCAATCCATTGGGACCGGCGACAGAAGCATCGCACAACTTGGCTATCGGTGACTGCCAATCAGATTAGAACAGAAGCTGCACTCACAACACCTTAGTTGACTCAGCGAGAGCAAACAGCTCATGTGATAGGATAGGACAAAGTGTTGTTTGTTACGGTTCGGTCACGCAGCGAGCAAACAATATGATAATGCGGATTGTGGCAATACTCTATCCCCAGCTATGTTGCTTGATACAGACTCCTAGCACGGCGAATAGTAAGAAGACGAGAACCTCGGACACAAACTTTAATAATCCAACAACACACAATCAACAGGCGATGCCCGGAGCTTCCGAACCCAAGTCAGTGGAAAGAAAGGTATCCTGTACGTGGTCGGAATTAAATTTTCTTGGAGTATCAATAGGCCATTGATTTTTCATAGTTTGACCTTGAAGATGCCAGGAGTTCGCTAGCACACATAAAAACAGCGTTTTCTGGGGGATATTGATATCCCCAACGCCTTTTATCTACAGGTCATTCATTATTTGCACAAAAAACTAAACCAAAACGTTTTGTCGTGTGATTTACATCGACATTTACAACTCCGGAAAGCTTCTGGGGGATATTGATATCCCCAACAGCTTTTATCTACAGGTCATTCATTATTTGCACAAAAAACTAAACCAAAACGTTTTGTCGTGTGATTTACATCGACATTTACAACATCCGGAAAGCGTCGAAACAACACCATCTGCTGTCATCTGGAGAAGTATATGTGGCTATAGTGACCTTCACCTCACTGCAGCATTAGCATAAGTCCGGGCTCCCGAAGTCTGCCACAGTAAAATTCAACTATGCGTCACTTACTCAAGAAAGATGACCGACCATTTCGTCGGTAGTTGCATATATCCTGAGCGGTAAGGACTTTGCCAAATTCATCGGCCACAAACTGCCACAATATACACGACAGCGTTCCATACTTCAGCAGGGCCTTGCAGGTGCCTAACACCTCGGTTAACCGACAATTTAGCGAAATCTGATCGTACAAAAACTAAGAAACCCTACTAAGAGGCGACTGAGGGATGGTTGCCCAGCTTCCTTGGACAAAAACACACTAAACAGCCGGTGCTTCGCTTACTGTTTGTTAAGAGCGAATACGCTCAGCTTACTAGCCTCCTCGGATTCTTCGGCCTTCCATTGGTTTCACTGGCCGCCCGCTGCATTTGTTGCACACCCAATCGTAACGCGAAACGGCGTGCGTGGTTCGATTACTGGCAACACACACAAACACCACATAGTTACCCGTCATGTATTCCTTCCTTCTCAAATACCGTGAAGAATGAAAAGCAGACAGCCTCTTCTGAAATTATGGCACAACAAGTTCAAAGTCGAGCGCACGACAATAATGAAGAAAGGAAATTAATTAAAATAAATCGCGAAAAGATGAGGGTAGGTTAGCATGAATTTTGGTTTGAGCATACGCAACAAAATGCAACATTTTTATGTTAAAAGTGTTATTCCACTCGCAAAGGTCTTACAGAAAAGACCATTTACGACCAACAATCACAGTCCAACACACCAATATCACACGTTTCTCAAATACTTTTACTCACGTCAGGGGAACAACGATTATACACACTAAGTGGCGCTATGACATACTTGTACAACCCAACACTGCTAGAGAAAGGCGAAAGTCTTTTGTACACCTACACTTCACTTTCCGCATGGGATTTGCTCACCCTAAGCTACTCCATGCCGACCAATTCCTTCACTGTTCGGTGGGATGTAAGTCCAGCATCTCGGAAAGTGCTGTTGGATCCTTTGATCGAAACATTCCGAAACATCTTCAAGTGTTGCAGAGAGAGCGGGCATGTAATAGTGCTCTCAGTCGGATGCTCACAGGATATCGAGAATCAACAACTAAGAAACCCAAGAAGGCTTAAGGGGGAATCAAGAATATTGTGCAAAGAAATACGCTGTACTTTTTGAAAGGTACAGATTACACCTTATTTTAATGAGTAGATTGTGGTGGTTTATGAAAAAATTTAGATTTCTGTAACTTATAATTTATCTATTTACTTTTTACTGGTGTTAGTCAGGATGGAGAGCAATTTACCGGATACCCCGTTTGGAATGTGTTACATCACAAAAGGAGAACCAAGGGTGTTTATTTAGCAGTTCACTGGAAATAACTAATCCCATTCGCAGGGCGAGATGGCCCAAGTGGGTAGAGCGCGAATTTACTGACCGGAAGGTTCGTGGTTTGAATCCGACCTCCGCCACTCGACTTCCCCTGTCTAGGCTTGGGCAACCTGGCAGTATCCTAGCACTCGTGCTTCCTTCGGGTGGCATGGCAGCTAGGCACCGGAAGGGTGCTACAGCTGAACACTTTCTTTCTTTCTTTCCTATCAAACTTGTTTCGATATCGTCAAACTCCCTTGTCCTAAAAAAAACATTCTAAAAGACAGAGACATCGTAAGAATTCCATTCGGGTTTTGGTTTATAAAAATGACAGCGAAGAAACAGAGACAAGGGCAGGAAGAATTCATGCGGAATAAGGCGTTAAAGCAAGTGAAGTCAACCGGGTTGTCGATGAGGAGTAGAAACGGGAAGAGACAATCACGGAATAGGAGCAAACAGGAGCGAAACGGCAGAAGGTTAGGAGTCGAACTCAGAAGTACAGCAGAGCGAAACGGAGAACTACCAGAGGGTCAGGCAAATAGTATTTATTTATTTATTTATTTAGCCTCTTCTCTCCACTGTATTCGGGAATGCGCACTTAGTGATTCCAAGCATGATGCATACAAGCAACAGAGCTGTCAGATCCGCTGGTTGACCAATGTAGGAGCGCACACGTGCCAATCCCTGAGACAAGGGTGTGGGATCTATGGGTTTTGAGCGCTGAAGCCGAGAAAAAGAAGGTAATCGATAGGATAGGGTTGGACATTTCAAGTGAATGTAACTGGTGTATGGTGAAGCGACTTACGCGTCTGCCTATCAAGCCTGACTCTTCCAGCTTCATACGCAGAACAGGTGAAGAGAGGGAAACCGGTGGAAGATAGTCCGATTTTCGTACGCGGTGCCACCAATTCCCACTGCGACTGAAAGTGAAAGGCAATTAGATCATATCGGGGAAAAATAAGGACACCTGCCGAAAACAACAGCCTATATCTGGGAGAAGACAGTTTCGATAGATACCATAAATTCAGTGTGTCAGTCGAGCAGTTAGAAACGAGAACATGAGTAGATGTGAAACTGGGTTGTAATCTACATAAATGGCTATTTAAGGAACAATATTATTCAACCCGGTGCATCTACTACTTACAAATTTCAAAGGAGAGTAGCTAGCATTTGAGCAGGTCACGATCGTGATACCTGCTGACGTAAACGACTCGTTAGTTGTACTCGGAAGCAAAGGTTCGTGCAAAATGTACACAACAAGCTGCCATGTTGAGGATAATCCAAAAATGAGAAAATACCAAACGAGTACCGTTTCTGCGAATTTGTTGATTAACCATGCCACTAGAGGGACAAAACGAATTGGAGCTGCTTGGGGTTCGTAAGGTAGAAAATCTCGGTCAAACGGGTTGTATAACTGTACGTGACATCAGGGGATTTTTTAATGGAGATTTCGTCCTGGAAGTGATGCCAATCTATGCTGAAAAGCCAAGAAGTACTGCATCCTTATTTGGAATCATCAGCAATAAACTCCAAAGTCTAGAAACCGTTTAGCAATTTCAACACTTAACTGTCCGGCTAAGAGCGGCTGATCAACAGCGTGATTAACTAGCACTTAGATAAGATATTGCGCCACTCATGCTTCCATCACCGGATAAATGCAATTTCGTGAGATGCACAGTGCTGGTGGTTCTCAATATAAATGACGCAGCTGTTTCGGTTTCTCAGCATAGACTAGCATCGCTTACAAGACGAAATCTCCATTCAATCAATCAGTCGATTAATAACCTACAAGCCGAGTACCATAGGCACATTGGTTCCAACTACTACAGTTCCGATCACCGGAAAGTGAGAGAGTGTGGAAGAGTGTGTGGAGAGGATGGCCTGTTCAGTTAGTTCGGGAATTGGCTAGCTGCGCTTTGAGGGCGATAGCTTTGGTACACGAGCGATAGTGACTGCGCGATTGGGCCATTTCATTAACCATGGAGAAAGGAGGCCCGGGGTCTCCAACCAGGGAGGAGGCAGTTATCGACCAGACTAAGTTTAACGTTTAAAGGTTTTACACTTCGTTCCCGGATGATACACCGACCACCTCTCCGTCGCTTTCATTCAGCACAGGGTTGGCCGAAAAAAACTCTGTGAGGCAGACGGTCTTCCAGCATACGGAGTACATGACATAACCAGCACAACCTATGAAGCGTGAGTAATTAATCTCTTATGAATGAATTCTTTGCCCATAAAACCATTTGGCGGGCATCGGCATTACTAATCCCTCCAGACCTGACCAATGCTTCGGAGACACCGATGGAAAAACAGACGGATTTCGTACGTTCTCTGCGTGTAGAGTCCATGTGTCTGGACCATAAAGCAGGATGGATCGCAGCACCGCAGTGGAAATTCTGCCCTTGACAACCAAAACCAGCCGACATAGATGTCGGAGGTTCGAAAAGTTGTCCCGACCTTCTTGATTTGAGAAGTAATCTCACCTCCAACAAATCGCGCGTCAAGTTATGTTGGGAACCGGCTGAGATATTTCTCCGAGATTCGGGCAGCGCCACTGTTCGGTCTGATTTTCAGCGATTGATCCTGGTATCGCCATGCCAAAAGCAAAACACCCAGCACCGTGGAAAGAGGTGGCGATGTCGCCCTAGCATGAATTCACATCTGATGGTGGAGCATTTGGAAGAGACTCTAGATAACGAATACGGTAAATTAGTCTAAAATGCGGTTCTGTCAGTCTCTCAGTTGGCAGGGTATTTTTCCGCGCCTCACACAGCCCTGGAAAATAAATGGAGAAGTGACTCCGGATGAGCGTATGGTCGGAATCCACAAATCTGTTCCAAAACGGCCGGCAGCCAGTTATTGATCCGCACTACTGACAATCGATGGCAATATGATCGATTTGAATTCGTGGCCCGCAAGGCGTTGGAGGACACCATGTGTCCAGACGACTACCGTTATTTCGGAAGTTAGTACTGTAGAAAACAGCCTGCGGTCAGCACACAGCTGAAGCAATCGTTCACCACTGTCCACACGTAACGAGTTCGGTTCATGTCGACCATCTAATTGAGTCTCAGATATGCTGAGCCTGCCCATTTGCTCTTTCAGATTCGCGGCAACAACAATATAGATGTTTTCAACTCGCCATATTTAGGACGTCATAAATCTTGTCTTTGGTGGTGTCAGAGCTACAGTCAGTTGAGGCGCAAACAGACACGACAAATAGACATCGACCAACTTCCCTCTTGTGAGACACCTTCACAGACGTTGCCAGATGAACAGCGCAGAGGCGACTATTGACAGGTATCCAGTCAAGCAACTATCCTTCACCCCAATGATCTAGGACGATAGCAACACCTGCATATCCGGCCACAATGGCCCCTGGATCTCAGGAGGTGCGCAGCCGGAAGGGAGTGGAGAGTAACGGGGCGATTATCTCAACTACTGTGCTTGCATCTTGAATTCTTGTTTCTGAGATGCAGTACACAACAGTGCCAAGCGAATCCAGTGTGAGAGCAAGAGCAGCTTGTTGACCTGCTTGAAGTCCAGTGGAACTTATACAAATACCCAGGTAAACTAACTGGTTCGTCTGCGAGCGTGGGGTTTGGGTTTGATCCCACCCAGCAGCACTTCACACTTTACAGGTGTGAAGCCCATGCCAGACCGCGCCGCATAGTTAAGTTATTTAAAATGGATTGCATTTGAGAAGGATCTGAACCAAAGAGAGCAACATCGTCCGCATACTCACTGTCTATGAGCGAATGTCCTCGGAGAATTTCGACTCCCGAGTTCTCATCATTATCATCATCATCGACAGCACGGCACCAGTGTTCGACACCGATGCCTCGCTACCGTACAACCATGGTTTATTTGAAAGCCTTGTTGTGAAGTAAAAATGAAAGTGGACAGGGAAGGTACTTAGTGCTGACTCGCTACAATCATTACGAGGTTCCTACACCTCCGAACACTCATTCACGCAATCTGGATAGTAACTAACAATAAAATCGCCAGTGACATCGGTTAGAAGCCATATCTTGCAGCATCTCCAATCAGGCGCAGTGAGGATCAAGTGGTGCGCATCCTGAAAGGCGAGTAGCACCGACAGCACCCAAGACTTTCGTGATTTATTTCATATCCCTCTGCCAGGTCAAGGGTTGGCCACCACTCTGGGTTGGGCATGGAGAACAGAACTCTCTTTGGCAAACGGCGGTTAGACATACGCAACACATGTCCCAACCAACGCAGCTTCTGGTGCTGGACGTATTCTTCAATGGAAGTATCCGTTGCACAACCGAAAACTCACTTTCTGACAGTTTCGTTACGCATACGCCGACACCCACCCACACGAGCTACATTTCTGAGACAACGATTGTCGAACACCTGAAGAAGTTTCAGTTCCGCTGCTCCAACAGGCCAAGTCTCACAGCCATACAACAAAACAGCCCGAACTGTAGCCTGATACACACGTCCCTTGAGATTCAGGGATGCACCACTTTGACGCCATAGGTGTCTGAAATCAGCAATCGCGACCCGAGCCTTGCAGATTCATGCATCCACCTCATCTGTCACACTGCAGTCAGAACTAATACAACTTCCAAGATACGCAAAACGCTCCACAACTTCTACAATCTTTTTCTGGATTGTAAGTGGCGTGTTCAGTGACTGCATGCCCACGAGCATAAGCTTACACTTGGTGGGTGCAAAGTGCATACCAAAGGACGGGATGACTTTGGTCAGTTCATCCAAAAACACCTGCGCCTTCTCCTCCTCTTCGAAGACGAGGACGACGTAGTCTGCATATTCCAGAATGACAAGGTTGCCGTCACTGGTGTTCAAATGAACACCAAGGTTTTGGGAACCATCTAGTGTTCGTCTCATGGTTTCATCGATCACGAAGTTAAACAGGAATGGAGGGAGTGGGCATCCTTGACAGACACCAATTTATGTACGGAAGCTTTCGGAGAGCTCGCCGTATACTCTCACACGTCCGAAAGTATGCGAATACAAAGAACGTATTATGTTCACGAACTTCCGGGGCATTCCTTGGTGCGTAAGCGTGTCAAGAAGAACAGATCGGTCAACCGAGTCGAATGAGCCTTGGAAATCCAGAAACACTAGAATTGTGGGTCGCCTTTACGTATGGCGTTGCTCTAGCACCTGACGAAGTGTGAAGATTTGGTCAACGTAACCCCTACCAGGCGGGAATTCCGTCTGCTGCTCTCGAGTCAGTGTCTCAAGAGCCACCGTAAGGCGACGAAGCACAAGTGACGCCAACAGTTTCGTTACGACCGAGTCAAACTGATCCCCCTGTGGTTGCCACACTCACTACGAGCCCCCTTTTGAAAATGGGCACTATCACCAACTCTCTGCAGTTGTCTGGGACAGATTATTTTTCTCAAATGCAAGCAAACAGATCGGAGAAGCGCTCATTAAGGACTTCATCCCCACCTTTGAACAATGCGGGTAGGAAGTCATCTGGACCAGAGGCTCGGTGACGTTTAAGATGGTCACTCCCTTCTGATCCTTGATGGTTTCGATCACAGGTAGTTTCGGGGCCCCGTCGTACGGATTAACTTAAATAATCTTCGGGCATAACCGGATTTCTGGGCATCTTCCATTTCCTTGGCTTTCTGTGTCCAACACACTTCAAGGTTGGCTCGCACGCTCACTTTCACTCGACGTCTGATAAATCGCGCGTCAAGTTATGTTGGGAACCGGCTGAGATATTTCTCCGAGATTCGGGCAGCGCCACTGTTCGGTCTGATTTTCAGCGATTGATCCTGGTATCGCCATGCCAAAAGCAAAACACCCAGCACCGTGGAAAGAGGTGGCGATGTCGCCCTAGCATGAATTCACATCTGATGGTGGAGCATTTGGAAGAGACTCTAGATAACGAATACGGTAAATTAGTCTAAAATGCGGTTCTGTCAGTCTCTCAGTTGGCAGGGTATTTTTCCGCGCCTCACACAGCCCTGGAAAATAAATGGAGAAGTGACTCCGGATGAGCGTATGGTCGGAATCCACAAATCTGTTCCAAAACGGCCGGCAGCCAGTTATTGATCCGCACTACTGACAATCGATGGCAATATGATCGATTTGAATTCGTGGCCCGCAAGGCGTTGGAGGACACCATGTGTCCAGACGCCGTTAGTTATTTCGGAAGTTAGTACTGTAGAAAACAGCCTGCGGTCAGCACACAGCTGAAGCAATCGTTCACCACTGTCCACACGGAGTTCGGTTCCACAGCTGAAGCAATCGTTCACCACTGTCCACACGTAACGAGTTCGGTTCATGTCGACCATCTAATTGAGTCTCAGATATGCTGAGCCTGCCCATTTGCTCTTTCAGATTCGCGGCAACAACAATATAGATGTTTTCAACTCGCCATATTTAGGACGTCATAAATCTTGTCTTTGGTGGTGTCAGAGCTACAGTCAGTTGAGGCGCAAACAGACACGACAAATAGACATCGACCAACTTCCCTCTTGTGAGACACCTTCACAGACGTTGCCAGATGAACAGCGCAGAGGCGACTATTGACAGGTATCCAGTCAAGCAACTATCCTTCACCCCAATGATCTAGGACGATAGCAACACCTGCATATCCGGCCACAATGGCCCCTGGATCTCAGGAGGTGCGCAGCCGGAAGGGAGTGGAGAGTAACGGGGCGATTATCTCAACTACTGTGCTTGCATCTTGAATTCTTGTTTCTGAGATGCAGTACACAACAGTGCCAAGCGAATCCAGTGTGAGAGCAAGAGCAGCTTGTTGACCTGCTTGAAGGCATTGAAGGCGGTCAGATAGACTGGGTGTCGAGGCTTGGAGATTGATTTCGAGATGCCTGAGGATGTCGGCGCCGGATGACGCGCAGATGTGGCTTGCAAAACCGTTGCAGGACGAACGGAGTTATCAGTCCTATTTGGTAGGCGTACGAGAAGAAGGGTATTATTGAGGTGGGGAGAGGGAAGGGGGAAGATGAACTATGTGAAAGAGAAAAACGGCGTCAGCAGTGGCCTGTTTTCGCTAACCCGCCCTGCTGTATGCAGTCAGTAAGGCGACTCACCTGATGGAACCACGCGACGGCCGATGACGTATGAAATTAACGGACGGATGCAAGTAACAGATTACGTGAGCTGGGATACTACGAGGTCGACTTGAATAAAACGTCACACCAAGGTAATGTCACCCCTCTTTGTGAAGAGAGAGAGAGAGAGAGAGATTGCAAGCAGCAAACCAATAACAAAATTGAAGAGAGGGGAGCCTTGTCTTAGACCACTCAGATGAAAGCTTACCGTATGATCGTAGGCGCGCACAAGGGTTCGTACACCGTGCCCTCATAAAAGATATAAATTTGGAAGTGATACCTTTGGTCGACAGACGCTGCCAAAGTTTCTGACAATCGACACAGTCGAAGGCAGCTTTCAAATCAAGAAAAACGATCAAAGTGGGACATCTGAAGAAGTAGCGCTGTTCAAGAATATGACTCAAGGTAACTATATGGTCGATGCATTCTCAGTCCGAGCGAAACGCAGTTTGATTCACACTAATCCATCACTCCCAATAGTCGATCAACCTTCCCAAGATAATCCCAGATGCGATGAATACCAGACTGATACCACGAAGTTTTCACGTGAAGTCCGTGCGCCCATTTTAAAGACTTGGAGGACGGTCGAGGAGCTTCATTCGGTTGTGTTTTTGTTTCCGTTCAAATCTTCTGATTTTAAAGACTTGGAGGACGGTCGAGGAGCTTCATTCGGCTGGTATTCTGTTTCCGTTCGAAATCTTCTGCAGTATGGTTTGTCAAACTGTTTGCCAGGACCCCGTCACCTCCTTTGAAGGGTGCGGGGTGTAGACCACCCGGACCAAGTGCTTTAATGCGTTTCAGGATTGATACCTCACGCTGGATTTCGGTTGCTGATAGCGGGTTGGTGTCGATATTCCATTCAAGCCCACTGGGCTCTTCCAGCGCTTGTGCTGAAGGAGACCGGCTGAACTGTTCTTTGACCTGCTCAGCTAAGCGCACAAGATGATCGTTGAGGGAGTGAATTGCCCTTCCGTCTTTTTATCATATTGCTTTATTGACACCTGCTTTCTCTTGACCAGCTGATCGAATGAGTTTCAAAGGCGCGCGGCTGTTGCCTGCAGCGAAAGCCTTCATTACCCTGGCCTTCGAAATCTGTTATTCTTCAAGCTCCTGGTTAATCGGTGTTTGAGGAGTCTGAGTGCGCCATCAAAGTCGCTAGTTCCTGGCATGGACTTTCTGGTAGAAATAAGATCTGCTGACCTCAACGATATCCAGTGTTCACTTAGTCGAGCCAGATGACCTGGACAAACAGTTTTGAAAACCGAGAGCATTGCTTCTTTAACTGGCTTCCATTCAACATGTAAGCAATTCACATGACTGTATGCTTCCAGTGGCTTTCTAGCCAGATCAGCTCAATACTCTTCAGCCACTGAAACTTATCAAAGTTGATGAACGGAGTTGCTCTCTTTGGGCACGCGTAGTGCCGACGGAAAGCAAAGTGACAGCCGGACCCCATAGATAGTATGACCAGAGTCAATCTGCGTACATTAGAAGGAACGACGAACCTCAAGTGATGCTCTCCATCGACAACTGATAGCCACATGGTCTAACTGGGTTCATGACTGTCTTGTGGTAGGTGGCCTCCAAGTAACTCGATGTGAGCGCCTGTGTTGGAAGTTCGTACTGGCCAGGAACAGACGATGATCTGAACACAGCTGGAGCAGTCGCTCCCCATTATCCGCAAGCTGCACGTCGACTTCAAATCTACCACCTAACGGTGCTTCTTCCGGACTAAGTCATCCAACTTGAGCATTCATATCATCCGCCAGGATTACTATATCCGTCCTGCTGACCGAAGCAGTCGCGACAGATCTTGACAAAATCCATCCCTCTCGGTCTCAGAACTGCAGTTGATACGATGAACAAACACCACATCGACCTGCATTGGTCTTAATTGTGGCAGACAATCGCACAGCGCAAAGACGACTGTTTACTGGAATCCAGTTCAGTAAGGCACTTTCAGCCTTGGGTCACACCGTAGATACCACGATCCGTTACGCCAGGATCATCGGATGCCCCAAGAGTGAAATATGGAAAATCTGGGCTCGTCCTAAGAGGCTTGAGGTGCACGATCGAATTGAGATCTTGTATACGTGCTTCGGAGACAACACATATCGACGGAGAGGGAAAGCAAGGTTTCAGAAGGAGATGCCTGAGGCCAAAATTTACATAGAGTGCGGATGCAACGTGGATCAGATCTTATGAGGTTGGTAAGTGATTATTTCGGTTTATTTTTATGGACGGTGGTTTAGACACGGAACAATGGCTAGGGGAGTGGTAGATGGGCTGATCGCACTACACTGTTCGATGAGGAGGGAGTGTGGGAAAAGACCGGTGGGCGAAAAGCTGCAATGGCAAATGATTGTTTCCTATTGTCCAGGCCGAAGTAGGTGGTTTGGTTGAGGTAACCCACCTTGAGTCTTTGACTCAAAAGTCTGACCCGCAAGGCAGTTGGAGGATGTAGCGTTTTGTCCGGGGACCCTATCCTAGCTTCTGACTCAATAGTCTGACCTACTCGGATGTGGCGGGTAGGCCTAACCTGAGGGCATAAATGCCCTTCCGTCTTTTTATCATATTGCTTTATTGACACCTGCTTTCTCTTGACCAGCTGATCGAATGAGTTTCAAAGGCGCGCGGCTGTTGCCTGCAGCGAAAGCCTTCATTACCCTGGCCTTCGAAATCTGTTATTCTTCAAGCTCCTGGTTAATCGGTGTTTGAGGAGTCTGAGTGCGCCATCAAAGTCGCTAGTTCCTGGCATGGACTTTCTGGTAGAAATAAGATCTGCTGACCTCAACGATATCCAGTGTTCACTTAGTCGAGCCAGATGACCTGGACAAACAGTTTTGAAAACCGAGAGCATTGCTTCTTTAACTGGCTTCCATTCAACATGTAAGCAATTCACATGACTGTATGCTTCCAGTGGCTTTCTAGCCAGATCAGCTCAATACTCTTCAGCCACTGAAACTTATCAAAGTTGATGAACGGAGTTGCTCTCTTTGGGCACGCGTAGTGCCGACGGAAAGCAAAGTGACAGCCGGACCCCATAGATAGTATGACCAGAGTCAATCTGCGTACATTAGAAGGAACGACGAACCTCAAGTGATGCTCTCCATCGACAACTGATAGCCACATGGTCTAACTGGGTTCATGACTGTCTTGTGGTAGGTGGCCTCCAAGTAACTCGATGTGAGCGCCTGTGTTGGAAGTTCGTACTGGCCAGGAACAGACGATGATCTGAACACAGCTGGAGCAGTCGCTCCCCATTATCCGCAAGCTGCACGTCGACTTCAAATCTACCACCTAACGGTGCTTCTTCCGGACTAAGTCATCCAACTTGAGCATTCATATCATCCGCCAGGATTACTATATCCGTCCTGCTGACCGAAGCAGTCGCGACAGATCTTGACAAAATCCATCCCTCTCGGTCTCAGAACTGCAGTTGATACGATGAACAAACACCACATCGACCTGCATTGGTCTTAATTGTGGCAGACAATCGCACAGCGCAAAGACGACTGTTTACTGGAATCCAGTTCAGTAAGGCACTTTCAGCCTTGGGTCACACCGTAGATACCACGATCCGTTACGCCAGGATCATCGGATGCCCCAAGAGTGAAATATGGAAAATCTGGGCTCGTCCTAAGAGGCTTGAGGTGCACGATCGAATTGAGATCTTGTATACGTGCTTCGGAGACAACACATATCGACGGAGAGGGAAAGCAAGGTTTCAGAAGGAGATGCCTGAGGCCAAAATTTACATAGAGTGCGGATGCAACGTGGATCAGATCTTATGAGGTTGGTAAGTGATTATTTCGGTTTATTTTTATGGACGGTGGTTTAGACACGGAACAATGGCTAGGGGAGTGGTAGATGGGCTGATCGCACTACACTGTTCGATGAGGAGGGAGTGTGGGAAAAGACCGGTGGGCGAAAAGCTGCAATGGCAAATGATTGTTTCCTATTGTCCAGGCCGAAGTAGGTGGTTTGGTTGAGGTAACCCACCTTGAGTCTTTGACTCAAAAGTCTGACCCGCAAGGCAGTTGGAGGATGTAGCGTTTTGTCCGGGGACCCTATCCTAGCTTCTGACTCAATAGTCTGACCTACTCGGATGTGGCGGGTAGGCCTAACCTGAGGGCATAAAGAGTAAGGTATTACTGTCTCACTCCTGATGCGGCTACGCACAGTGTCTGTCTTTTGAGGAGTACCGGACTCTGGCTTTAAAAGTATTTCCACCGTATTGAATAATGCACCAGCGGTCACGGTCAGCCGGCGATCGAAGTGCGGCTACGCACAGCAGGTGTCTTTTGAGGAGTACCGGACTCTGGCTTTAAAAGTATTTCCACCGTATTGAATAATGCACCAGCGGTCACGGTCAGCCGTCGTGCGATCGAAGTGTGCGGTTTTTAGGGCCGTCCTTTCTCTGGGGTAGTCAGCATCGCTGCTTCCATAAATATGGACATGCTGGTCGCCCGAGGCCATGTTAGCATTCCTCATCGGTTACGATTCAGTGTGGAATCCCTTTCGCAAAGGGTGCCTCCCTGGGGTGTACGAAGCTATTTTACTCGCGGTACCCTCTCCTCAGGGATTGTTGTGAATCATGGCTGACGAGGGAAAGCTACTGTGGCCTATGTTCGGAGCGCAGCCATTGTCAGATAACTGATGCATTACATCGTTGGATTCGTAGTAACCGCTATTCCCTATAGTTTACCAGAACTAGTGCAGTGCTCGTAGGCCCCAGTACCAACGAGTGATCTGTCCACTAGTACGCTAATTGCGCTTCGTAAAAAAGAACCATACAGAACCAGCCTTCTGAAAAACCAGCTTAACTCCGGGAAAAAGGCAGAAGTTAAAGGATGAAAAGTCCGTGGTCTGAATCTACTCCTGAGGTGTCGATTGTTCTTAGCAATGTTGCGAAGTGTGGCTAGTTCTATTGGTTTGACCTCAAGCCAAAAGGATCAGAAAACTCGAAAGACAGAGGAAATGGGCCAGTGACGTCCTGTAGATTTAAAACCAAACAAACAAACGAAGCGCGATACCACATCGAAACTGATCAATAGGGACACAAAATGAGCTGTCCTGGATATGAAGATCAATCAACTAACGCGGGGCATGATTACAACTCCAAACCAATTGACCAGGGTATACTCGATTGACTAGTCACAACACAACTATTACGTATCCATAAAAAATCATACAAACAATAACATCTAGGTTTTAGCACCATAACCAATAGGACACTGAAGATGTCGATGAATGACGAAGCAGTTGCAACCGGATTGTCAAATTCGATCGCTACACCAGTGAACAATTGATTGCTCCTGTCTAAGCTTGGACAACCTCGGACCACAACAGCTCCGGGTTACATCATAGCCGCTAGGTAGCGGCTGAACTATTCTGTTCATTCGATCATCGCATCGAATAGCATAAATATGAGTAATTCAAAAAGATACTCGAAGGTGCTATGTTAGGGTTTTCCACTTGGGGACGCTTGGTTAGAAGTATTGTGAACTGGAACGAGCCTGGCCGATTCACAGTTTCCCTTATCAGACGTAACACATTTTTGTTCATAAGAGCACTTAATTAGAAGTCAGGTCTGCCGCTCATTGACCTTGCATTATACTGAATCATGTGAATGTATATCCTAAGACGTCGCGTTCACGATTTTATGTGGTACACCCTATACTCAGGTGATACCGAAAATCAATACAATGGTTGCATAAGAACCAAATACTCCTATGATTATCACCTGTAAGAACAGCGTACTTGTCGTATAGTGGTGGTAGCTGTCACAGCTTCTTCCACCGATGATTTAGGGAGGTGAGGTAGGTAGCTGCGCATCGGAGGCGGGAGCTGATAGATTGGTGCGTAATTGGGGAGAATGGGAGGGGAGCTATGCAATGAAGACAATAGCTTGGATGCACGAGCGCCATGGTAAAGTTTGCAAAACGAAGCTAAGCGACACACTTAAAAAACCGCATATCTGTTTAAAATCAACTTACTCAGTAGGTTGCGTGTAGTAATAAGTGTACAGATGAGCTCTCACAAACTTTGGATTAGTTGGTATCGTGGATGTATCCAGCAACTGTAATACTGAGAGAAAAGTGCAACAAGCGTCAACGACAAGGATGAAAGCTCATAAAATATGAGATGACCAGATGCATCAACTGACGCAGAGTAGGTCACTACTTTTCGGACTGCATTTCGAACTGATTAACTTTTGACTACCCTAAGGGACACTAGTCATTCCGACTACCTACCAGGTTGCAAACAGTTGAATAAAATTACAAACGCTGAGGAATTTTCTCCTTCGGATCACGAGAAGATTTGGATAATCGAATTGATATGATGTGCATATCAGAGTCAGAAGTAAATTATTTTTGAATTGGGCAGCCTGCAGCAACAGGACATTGCACCTCATTTGACTGGGGCTCAGTGAAATGAGGGGAAACTGGCTCCAGAGACGCGATGAGAACAAACGGTGAGAAGGCCGCTCAGCAGACTGAACAGTCAGAATAAGCAAATTACTCGCTCTTGCGGCTTTTTTATACGGTACGATGCTATGTGTACAGCCATCATCATCACGAGAGACAGCAACATCGATGTTAACGCAGATGCTTCATATGGTCGCACGCTCCTGGTAATTTGGAAAGTATTTGTTCCATCTAAATACTGTCACCGTTCGAGTGCTTTAGTGTCGTAAAGAGACTCGTCAACAACGAACACAACAGCTTTATTGCGAACAAGCCAGTACAACAGTTACAAGGGGCAACCCAAGGGTACTTTCAACATTGATCCAGGCTGTCCGGTCGGCGTTTGGTGAACGCCCATCATCATCGACGTGCTTCTATGCCCGGAAACTCATCATCGTCGACCATGCTTCCGTGGCGTGCCTGAAAGCTCGACGACTATTGCTGAATTGATTGATTGATTCACTAGCCTGGATGCCTTCCGGCTTTCCTATTGAGATTTTGGTGGAGTTCGAGGGTCTCAGTAGATTTCGGGCGTTTTGGGAATATTTTCAGGAATTTGACTTTCCTGACAGTATTAAACTGGATGGATACATAAGTAAAGTGATGTGAGGGAAATGACCTGCGTTGAAAGCACTGATTTTTGTACCTTACGACCTTTCGACGCGAGAACACAGTCTTACTCTTGATCAAGAACGCTGGGATAAAGCGAACTAAACAGTGGGCATCAAGATTCCAAAACTTGACCCAGGACTGTCCACAACACAAATAGTCTATAAAGTGAGGCCTTACCATCGGGTTCTTGTTGGAGCAACCGATAGACCAGGTTGTAGAACCAAGGGTGATCGTCCGGCTGACTCAAGGCTGCAAACCACAGCTGCCAGTCCACACGAGGTTGGTGAGGTACTTAAAAAAGCGAGAGTTCGGACGAGGAGATGAAGTCAAATTGGGCATATTTATTAAGCAGTTCATACACCAGACACTTTGAGATGCACATGGTGGGTGAGCATAGAAGAAAACGTTTGTCCAAGTTCAAAGTCTATAAATCGGGGTATCATCCGGCTACTACGTCTGTTTACATTAAGAAATTACACATGATGACAACATTCACGGTATCGCGTTGCAGTAGCTAGCGGAATGCCGTGGCATGCAGATGAAGATTGAAGATGAAGATGAAGAGAATGATGATGATGATGATGATGATGATGATGATGATGATGATGATGATGATGATGATGATGATGATGATGATGATGATGATATGATGATGATGTGATGATGATGGTGATTGGTGGACGTTCGAATCGGACTGTTGCAATATTTGAGTATATTGGTTTCCGAGTGAAAAGATCCTTGAAGGCACATTTTAGGGTAGATGCGAACCAGACACTATTGGGACCAGTTTGATGAGAATTCTATGCCTAGGACCACAAGTCACGGTGTATAGAAATGGTTATCGTGGTTGGGATAAGCAGGTGGTGTGCAATTGACGGTCGTAGTAGTTTGATGATATAGCCTGTGACGTCCAAGCGGATAAGATATGGCGTCTCCATGACCCAGAGTATTTTGAGTCCAAACCTGAACCACAATGTACATTTAAGACACGTCCATCATGAATTACGGGTCCTCGTACGTGTGGAGTCCCCTAACACTGTAAGACTACAGCTTGAAGACTCACCTGTTGTCTGAAACATATAGGGAAGCGGGGAGGTATAGCCACGGTAGAAGGCGTCGTAACAGGGATAAGTGATGGTCAGTGACTGTGGGAGAAACTATGGCCGTTAGCTCTCAGCCGACCGATGTGCTTTACTGATCCAGGTAATTTTTACGCACATTTTTTTGCGTCACGGTAGTTAGTTACAATTTATTCAACAGGGATAATTAAAGGGGTTCAGCCCTTCAATTTAAGATTAGCTTATACGTGCTTATACGAATCGTTCCAGACGGTGACAGTTGTTATATTGATTACAACGGTGCGCTGTGGTTAGCATACATTATGTGGTAAGCAACGATAAAGTTAGTTGTCCAAATACCGTTGCCACTGGTTAGCACGCTGCTGATGGCTCTTTCAATTGGCATTAGCAAATAGACCCAAGGGCTTCGTTATGATAAAAAAAACTTCTCCAGAGGATCATACCACCCCTCATCGTGCGGGTTAACATGTATATGGCCAGCTGCGCTTAGCGCAAGTTAATTACCACCCATTTATAGATGCAGAGTAATACGATCACGTACATTGTATCACTTTGATAGCGTGTTGACGGGTGCTCCCGGTTGGTGTTACACTTGGGGAGGTGTAGTATTACGCTGACACTCGAAGGAGTTGATGGATGGCGTCACTAATCCGATGGTAAACACGTACCTGGTGGCAGTGCCCACTATTATGCTCGATATTTAGCTCGAGTGCTGGTGCAATGGAAAGGCATGCTTGCGTTAAGTATTTCCCCCTGGCTGATTTTAGCGGACACTATCTGCTGATGACCGTGGCGATATCGCCGGCAGCCAATGGTGGCCTGGATATCTTGGGACCTTCTGGGTTTATTTAGACAGATTTCTTAAATGCTGAGGGATTGCTTACTCCTCTTGCCAGCTCTTTGGGGATTTTGTTTTGGTATACTTCAGACATTGGGTGGCACAAAATCCTACTTTTCGATTTATATTGACATGTACTACAGGCCGCGGTATTGATTGTTTTTTCCTGGGTTACTCAGTCGCCTTTTGTTTCGGAGGTTGAACTTTGAAATCCTGACTTTCGCAGTTCATGTCTGGAATGAGACAAACATTCAAACTTGCCTCGCCTATAAGGCTACGGTGTAACTGATGTCTTGCCGTACAGGGAATACACGTAAGTGCACGATAAAAGAGCATTAAACGAGCTAAATTTCACCTCAGACTACAAGATGAGACGTAGGCTGATAAACAGCCATACTTCCTGTACTGCATCCGTCTAGTTTATGTTCGTTTCAGTTGCGTTTAATTGGATTGGTACAGCTGGTAACGCGATACAAGAAATCCTTCCCCAGAAATTAACCTCTCACACAGGAGAGGTCCTTCATTAATCTTCTCCGTGAGTGTTGGATTATCTGGAGTAAGATACCGAATGATACAAATGCTACTGTATGAAGTAAGTACATCAGCGCGGACCTCACGAGTGCTAACGTATGGCTGCAAATGACTCGGTATTGAATAGAAATTGAAAAAAGTAGAGATTTGGATATACCGACGGGATGTGACATGGGGATGAACTCACTGACTACCGGTGGAGTACGATTGACTCGACCTGGCTTGAAGCGGAAATGATATTCAGTCCATGGACCCTCCATGGACGGAGCACCTTCAAGAATCACTTCTGGCCTGCCACCAACCCCAGTCATACTGAAAGAAAATAGATCATGTGATTGAAGACAACAAAATCAGGAAAACCATACTGACTGACACTCAAGCGTTCCTGAGGTTGATAGTAGGCGGCATGCGGATTGCATATCAAAAGTAGATAGTTTGAATTTCTGAATAGTGAAGGGCCCGTCCTACGACAGGCCACGTGGAAAAGTTCCCACTGGGGGTGGGTTCTGAAAAGAGACGGGTATGCGCGGAGAGTTACCGTAAGTGGTATCTCCTAAGATAGTATAGATGCTTCGTTCTGGACAGTTGAAAATAGTGGACACGGAGATTGGTACCGACAGGTGAGGGCCTACTCGCTATTCATAGGCTGCGTGAGCAGATAGCCAGGGTTGACAAATAAAGCTTGTTTGGAATACTACACCGTTTGCTCTTGATTAACCCAAAAGATCGTGCTGAGGTATGAGGTGTTCCTCACGGGTGTCGATTTTGGTTTGACGCTGATTCGTAGACCAGGTTTTCCTGGGGAAGACTATCTAAAACGATAGATTAAAAAACTGGTTCGATTGATAATGACAACGTGATGGTTCGTAGAAGACTGAGGTGAACTTGGAGCCGTACCAAGCAGGTGTTTTTCTGACTTGCTGTAAGGTGGACGGAAGTGTGCCGATTACCCTGGAGGCGTGACACTAGGATAGGCATGCACGAGTAGTGGGAAACAGTAAGGCAACGAGGAGTCTGTTTACCAGACTTTCAACCACTAACCAAAACGAAAGAGGAAACTCTATGGAGGCTACACAGATCCCCCCTCCAATGCAGCTCAATGGGCTACTGCGGCATATAACATGGGTATAACAGCAAACCGAAAATTAAGTATTACTCCAAGAAAGTGAGGTCGCTTAAACGAGGGATTCGGTATACTATGATTTTATTGCTAGTATAATCCAACGTGTGTTGTTTAAGCAATTAAATTTATTCAGCGAACACCTCAGTTATAACAGCGTGTCAAAGCGTCTACGCGGTGACCGAGCTCATTTCGAAGAGATGGGAATGTAACAGCTCATGCACACCTGGCTGATGGTAGGCGACGAAGGTCAGGGAGCGGGGATATAGCCTATGGAGTCAGAATAATTTGCCCGGAGGCTGCGTTGGGACTTATTCCAACAAGTTGTAAAAACAGCTCATCGGTTCTGGACAAGAGCCCAGAGTGAATTTGTATAGTGGCCTGTAAATCAGTTGTGTCAACGGTAGGTTCAACGGAATTTCAGGTGAACGAGAGATTCAGTTGAATCTCAGACATCAACTTGATTTCCCAACATGCCCGGAAAGATCGAAAGCGACACTAGGCTGTCGAAGTGTCTCTACGAATCCTAAAAGTAAACAGTCCTAAGTAACGTGTCGGGAATAGGGAGGTTTAAATGCCGAAAAAACCCGATGACTGGTATTCGCGCAACCATAGGTCCTTAACCTGATTGGTTGTATTGGAATGAAGACGTGAAAGGCCACCTAATTGACGAAATACACCCATTTGCAAATAACATTGGTGCTAATGGGAGACCCAAAAGAATTTCTTGCTTGTGATATTCTGAAGCCGATTGTACAACACAAAGACCGCCCCGTGTTTCAGTTGGCATCATCATCATCATCATCATCATCATCATCAACGACAGCATGACATCAGTGCTCAACACCAATGCTTCACTGCCGTACAGCCATGACTTATTTGAAAGCCTTATTGTAAAGA